GAAGTTACTGGAAGAGAAAAGATGAAGTTTATAAATCAAGATAACAATTTAAAAGATTGGAAATTATATGAATCAGGAAAACAAGATAAAGGGTGCGAATTCCAAATAACTTGTTTTAGAAAAAAACTAGACAAATAAGAATTTTTGGAGCACTTTAGAACAGTCACAGTAAAGAGATGAGACTTTATTGAATGACAAGTAACACAAGAATAAATTTTAGTAGATGGTATTAGAAACACTAGCTCTTTAGAGCAGCACCTATTATAGTATTTATAGAAAAAAAAAAAAGAGGCAGCATTACAACGATGTGACAATGGTTGAAGGTTGGTTACAAGAACAGGTCCAAATATGTTTACAATGCGTTTTTGCACTTTGTCTAAAAGAGAAAGGGCATCATTTAAAGATTTCACTCCAGTATTCCATACAAGGATGAATTTGAGAATTATAGGGATAGAGAATAGAATCCGGAATAAAAAGTGGCAAGCACAATAAAGAGATGCAACCTTTGAGCATGATAAAGCAGATGCTGATTTAGCAATGGATTTGATAAATGGTTTCCATGAAATATCAGAGGTAAGAGTTAAACCTGGAAAAAAGGGTAGATGATTTATTAAGTACATTACTGTTCATAAATATGAAAAGATCTAGATTATTGCGATAACGGTCAGATGATAAAAAATTAAATTTTATCTAAGTTAAAGTTTACCAGCTACTGAGAGCCCCATACTGTAGCAGAAGTGAGATCCTTTTCAAGCTCAAACGCCCACTCCAAGCAATTAGAAAATGTTGGCTACTTATCAAGACAAGAATAAATAGTAGTATCATCAGCGAACATTGCAAACTTAGATGTGAAAATTTTTAAAAGATTGTTAATGTAAATTAAAAAAAGTATAGGGTCGAGAATACAAACTTGATTACATAGTTTTTGGCTTTGGGTGCCATACACCAACTATTATTGAATCATATTCTCAAATAATTTAAAGTACAACAAAATATTAGGCATAAAAAACTCTTTACCACTCAATTGTTTTAATCTATCCTTTACAAATACTTGTGTTTTCAAAGTAAATTTCTATCTGTTAAATATTACAAAATTTACTAGATCTACTTGCTCTTTACGAGACTAAGTTAAATTCAGCTGTTTTATCTTTAGAATTCAACCTTAATGATGAATTTGTTGTGTAATCTGGTTTAAATCTTATTACTACACTTTTATGTGCTTTGGTTAAGCACCTCTTCACTAAATCAATTTTTTTGTTCTTTTTTGATTTTCTTCTTCCTAAAAATGCATACTTTTCAATAGTACAGTTGATATAACTGACCAAGCCTTTTCTCTTTATCCATAAGCCAATATTGTTGTTATTGGTGATTTTAATGCTTATTGCACTAAATGGTTTGGCTCGAGGCCAACTAGCTCTGTGACATTAAAACTAACAATATTTGCTAAAAAATTAGATATTCTTGCTTTTTATTTATGTTAGCATTTATTTATACATACTGCATAAAGAAAAAAAACGTTCTTCATAAATAAAATAAGAAAGATGTACTAAATGGTAAAAACACAAATTAAAACCTAGCAAGTATCAATAAAATTTAAATAATATTATTGATAATTTATCCTCAAAGCGATTCGTTGTTATACAAGCAGCAAGCAGAAAGTAAAAAAAGTTTTCAAAGCACTATTTATAAGATTAACTTATCAAGTTAATAATATAAAAAAACAAAAACTTGTCAATTATAGTTTTTTTTATTATATATATTAAAATTAGAAAACAAAACAAAACAAAAAAAAAAAAAAAAATTAGTAAAAAGATAAGAACAAGATAAAAATAGAATTTTGATTTAAAAAAATATATAGTAAATGTTAGTGAAATAAATCTATAAGAAATATATTAAACTTTTTCTTTACATTCATAAGAGCACAAGAACACAAACTTTTTATTTATTGTTTTGGTTTAAAAGAGATTGCAAAACTTAAAACTTTCTTTGATTTTATATAAATAAAAATATATTGAACATGATTCTGCCCATAAAAAAAACTTTAACTTTAGGCAATTTTAAAGGATTAATGATGGCCTTAAACACTGTCTACAGTAAATTATGAATTTTAGCTTAACATAAAAAAGAATTCAGCTGTTGTGAAGTTTAAAATATATTTAACAAACTTATTTCAGTAAACATCAAATAAAATCTATTTTTGTTGACTGAATAACAAAAATTATATAACAGTTTGAATATTTAGAATATTAAATAGGACACAACAGTATCAAGATTTTCAAAGTTCCTGCTCCAAATATTGATGCAAATAAGAAATTGAGTAATGACCTTTTTAACCATTCTGATCAGAGACAGACTTATTTAAACTGGTTGAAAAAATAAATTGATTCTTTCAACCTTTATATTTCTAAGCTTCTTTTTACTGAAGATCAGTTTTGGGTCTCAAAAATTTTCAAAGGATGGAAGGCCAATAATATATATATATATCGCTATAAATCTTCCTAACTAAAACAATCCATTGCATAAAAGTTTGCTATTCATTACAAAACATCAGGAGTTTTTAGCAACGCAAGAGCTAAAAACTCCTGATGTTTTGCCTCTCAAAATGATTAAAACATCTTTGGATAATAGATTAGCAATAATTACTTGTAATTCACCAGTAAATATGTTACATAAAGTATGAAATTTATGCTGATGAGTTGAAACTCTTGTTTTGTCCAGGTTTTAAACTTTGTCCAGATATTAAAAAAATATATTTTTTCACCAAAAGCACATGGATTTGCAGAATTTTCATTAATATGTCACCAGATTCTTTAATATGCCACCAATTTTTTAACTGCACCAGAAGCAGCTGGAACAGCAGAACTTAGTTTTATTATAGATATATTCTTTTATTGTTTGAAAGTAAAGTACAGTATTAAACATATGACAAAGAAGAAGCTATTTTAAATCCTAATGAATCAGTAGATGATTATACTAATTGATTGAATTAGTAGAATGATAAATTGTAGAAAGAATCCATAGACCAATGAGAATGAAGTTTTGATGAGAGCTTTAAATCAAAAGTGTTTATTTTTTCAGAAATTTATGGCGGTTTGCAAATTACAGTTCATTCATTCAAAGAAGTTGTTAAACTTTTACTCGAAAATGTTAATCAATTTATTTTTTATGATTTGCAGAAAAAATATTTCATCTATTAGAAATTTTAACTACAATATCAATACAATCAAGTCACTGTTTTTAGTTTGTCTAATTAATATTGAATGTAATGACAATATTGAATATTTACCAAAATAAAAAAAGTAATTACAAGTCATTAATTCAGGACCAACATCGAGCTCTGTCTCCTACTTTTTTTAATAAACAAAAAAATTAAAGAAAAATGGTTACTTTTATAACCAGAATATTTTAAAAGCATCATTTATCATTTATTATGGTATTTATAAAAGAATTAGCATAGAGATAAAAATACCCACTTTCACAGTTTCCAAAATACCACTTTTACTATGAAATTTCAAAACATTAAAAACCAACTAGATCAAAACTTTTAATTTATAATTTATAATATATAACTCATTCAGAATAACTACTGTTGACAGTTTCATTTCTTCCATAACTATTTATATGCAAATAAAATGGGAAACTTTTGACCACTATATTTGCTAGAAGTCAGAAAAAATAAAGTATTGACTTTTTACAGTTGAGAAACAAACACTTCTTCTACTTGCAACATTCTCTAAATCTAACTTAGCTAATAAAAAATTATATATTATCAAAAAGGTACTTCATCTCATAAGTATATACTTTTCATAACCAAGATTAACCTCAATAAAATTTAACTTTATTCTGGATTCAGAGGCATTTTGCTAAAAAATCCAAACTAAACAAATCAAAGTAGTGAATTTTTTTTTGTTGTTTTAAGAAAAAAACATTGTAATTTTAGACTTTTTTTGCTTACCGTAACCCATACGGATTTTTTAGAAAAAGAAGAAAAAAAATGAAAAATGATAAATGAAATGATTGCTGTCCAGTGCGAGTCAGGCTATTTGTCAGTTGATGTATGTACTGAAGACCCCAGCAGCAGGCTATTTCAGTATGATGTCAGATTGCTTACCTTAGTACGCAATACTATTTGTATATATATACTATTTTGAAATTAAGTATACAATCTCTAATAGTATTATAAATATTATTAGAGATTGTAATATCTAAAATATATTAAATAAGATATTGTAAACTTCTTTTAACTTTTCTAAAGTTGTTCAGGTGCACTGCATTAACCCAAAAAGTAATTGAAACAGTTTATGATTCCAAAATACATGTTTGAATGATTATGATTTAAATAAATTATGATTTTATTTTAAACTGTCTATTTTACAAAAAAGTACTATAAAAATTTACTTTACAAAAATGTTATGATTATACTTTGAAACATTTTTTCAAAAATAAAAACTTTTCAGAAAATTAAACAAAAAAAATCAGTATCTTTATATAAAAATTTAGATATTCTTGTTTTTATATGCATAAGTATGTTTTTATATACATTAGTATATTCATAATATATAAAATGTATAAAAAACATTGAAACAAAATAAGAAAAAATTTAAAAGGTAAAAAAAACACACACAAAAAAAAACAAACTCAAATAAGATATTTTTAATTTTAGAAAACCTAAGAAGACAGAAAATAGCATTTAGTGTCTACTGAAAATGATGAACTTTATAATTACATTAAAAAAATATTCAGCTGTTGTAAAATACAGTTGATAAACTAAGCTCATTCACCTTTAATTAAAACTTATTGTTGACCGCATGAGAAAAAATATATAACAGTTAGAATATTTGGAATATAATATGGAATAACAAGATTTATAACTAAAAATATTAAAAAATCTTTGATTATAGAACTTTATTTTCTATTCTAAAAAATTTCAGGTGTGGTAGCAGTATTGAAAAAAGTATTTTGTCAGTAAAATATGTAAAATGTATAAAAAAAATTAATACCTTGGGATTTTACTTTTTTTTCTTTTGTACCCCTGCCTTAAATATAAGATTCATTTTATTAATATATCAGTTGAAAAATTAAAGCATATTTATATCTTATGATAACTTAGTTAATTCCTTTTAATTTAATACTGAACTGTTTATTTTACAAAAACTTATTGCTTATCTTTAAAAATACTTTTTAAAGTAACGATAACTTCAAAAACAAAACAAAATAAAAAAAAACATTAATATCATAATATACAAAGTTAGACATTCTATCTTTTTATATATGTTATTTAATATATATATATATATATATATATATATATATATATATATATATATATATATATATATATATATATATATATATATATATATATATATATATATATATATATATATATATGTATGTATGTATATATATAGCATAAATAAATAACTTTGTTCTTAAACAAAATAAGAAATGTGAATAAAATGGTAAAAACACAAAAAAAAAACTAGCAAGAGACAATAAAACTGAATTAATATGTTCAATAGTATAATAATAAAAATGAAATATGTTCAATAGCAACAGCAACAAAAACATTTAAAACAATTACTATATTTTTAAGTTAATAATAATAAAAAATCATCTTAACAATACAAATTAACAAATATTTATAACTAAAAACCTATTATTGTTGACTGCATGACAACAATAATAAGTTTTTAGTTATATATTTTATATGGTTTTATAACTAAAATAAAACATTAATAAAAAATTTTTTTTATTATAAATTTTAATTTGCTGTTCTACAATTCTTGAAGTTTTTAATTTTTGCAACGATGCTAAGTAATAGCATAGTTGAAAAAATATGTATATAGCATGAAAAAAAGATTTGATACCTTCAAGGTTTATTAGATTCTTCTTTGTATGACTGCCTTAAATATAAAACTCATTTTATTATTATATGTTACATGCATCCGGCTACTGTCTTGTAGAAGGCCTCCTAGGCAAAGACTTAAGGGGTAAACAGATTCTATCTGTTGACCAGCCTCGCACCCCTTCTTCATGTATTAGGCTGGTGCAGATGTATTTTTAATACATTGTTTCCAGTTTAGGATGTTGAACGCTGGATCTTCTTGACTCGATACATGGGTTTTGCTTGTGTCTCTGTTTTTATGACTAGGCAACTCATTCTATTATCTCCAAATGAGGATACAGCTCTAAAACTCAGTTTTATGGTTCTGAGGCAGGCTGGTAGTCAGGTTTCCCGAACTCTGTGGTAGCTCTCAGAGAGGCTGATTCCATCAGCTGAAAAATATCAAAGTACTAACAGTGCCATGTTGCGCATGGATGGTGTCCCTGTTTGTACTTTTGGTGTGCATTGCCAAGGCCACATTGGAGCCCTTCGTTACGGCTTAGGATTTATAAATGGAAATGAGGCAATTGCTTGGGCAAACAAGTGTACTGAATACTATGATACTATCTACTGAATATGATACTATCTACTGAAAAAAAGTGTACTGTAAAACAGTGTACTGAATACTATCTATGTTTCGAGTCAAGTTCTTTAACAAATCTAAAAATGAACAAAGTAACAAAAACTATGAAACACAAAAAACCACAGTCATCACCAAGTTGACTAAACCTATCATTCACTAATATTCGTGGTCTTCGAAGTAACTTTTCTTCTGTTGAGTCTTATCTCTTGCAAAGTTCACCAGACCTACTTGCTCTTTGTCAGACTAATTTGAGTTCAGCTGTCTCATCTTGTGATCTTAGTGTGATGGTTATCTTCCTTTAATTCGTAAAGACTCCAATAGTCACATACTTGGCCTGGGCATTTACATTCGTAAGAATTCACCCATTTGTCGGGAAACTAGGTTTGAATCCACAGACTACTCTTTTATGAGCTTTCGTTTAGCACTACTTCACTCTATCATCTTTCTCTTTGTTCTATATCGCTCTCCCTCATCTCAAGACTGCACTCTTCTTGATGTTATTTCTGATCATATTGACCAAGCCCTCTCTCTTTATCCATCAGCTAATATTGTTGTTGTCGATGACTTCAATGTACATTACACTGAATGGCTTGGCTCTAGTGTCAGTGACTCTGCAGGCATTTAGGCCCACAACTTTTGCCTTTCTCAATCCCTAACTCAAATAGTTAACTTTTCAACTTGCTTTCCAGATAACACGAATCATTTACCTTCTCTACTTGACTTATGTCTTGTTTCTGATCCTAGTCAGTGCTCAGTTTCTCCACACTCACCCTTAGATGCATCCGATCATAGTTTGATTTCTCTAAAACTATTATCTCATTCTTCTTTATCATCAGAATCCCCCTATCATCGTACATCTTACAACTACCTTAAAACTGACTGGGACTCTTTCCGTGATTTTCTTCGTGATGGCCCCTGGGTAGAAATCTTTCGTCTTCCTATTGACAAATGTGCTTCTTACATAAATTCCAGGTCAAGCCTCACTCTTCTCCATTGTTTTCCTCGCATTGTGCTGCTGCAATTGCCAATCGAAACTATTACTTCCATATCTATCAACAAAACAATTCTCCAGAAAACAGACGTCTCTTTATTACTGCTAGGAACCATTGTAAAAAGGTTTTGTCTAACGCCAAAGCCCACTATTTTCAGATCATGAAATCTCGTATTTCATCACAAAAGTTAGGCTCTTGCGACTTCTGAAGAATCTTTAATAGTATCAATAATAAGGGCAAGTCTGTAATTCCACCTACTTTGTATGGTTCAGACTTTGTCACCTCAACTAAAGACAAAGCTTTATTGTTTGCTAAGAACTTTTTATCAATACCATCTCTTGACTCCACTAATTGCGTTCTACCTGATATAGCCGTCAAGCAGGTTGATCCATTGCTTGACATCCATATCACTCCAGCTTCTGTATCTAAAGTGATTTCCTGCTTAGACTCTTCTACAGCTTGCCGCCCGGACAACATACCTGTTATAGTCTTGGAGAAGTTTTCTCCGGAGCTGTTATCTATCCTTCCAAAACTATTTAACAAGTGCTTATCAGAGTCTTGTTTTCCAGCCTGCTGGAAAGCAGCATCTGTTATCCCTTTTTTAAAAAATTCTGGAGAACGATCCGATTCATCCAACTACCGCCCCATTAGTCTTCTTTCTATCATAAGCAAGGTTTTTGAATCTTTAATTAACAAACACTTAATCTCTCATCTTGAATCTCATAACCTACTTTCTGATCATCAATATAGATTTCGATCTTCTCGTTCTACAGCTGATTTGCTAACAGTAATAACAGATAGGTTTTATCGTGCATTAGATAAAGGTGGAGAGGTTAAGGCCATTGCTCTTGACATTTCTAAAGCGTTTGATAAAGTTTGGCATGCTGGTCTTCTCCATAAGCTTTCTTCTTACGGTGTATCTGGAAACTTCTTTAAGATAATTGAATCCTTTCTTTCCAATTGTAGTATAAAAGTTGTCCTTGATGGACAGCACTCTTCTTCTTATTCTGTAACCTCAGGGGTTCCCCAAGGTTCAATCCTTGGCCCTATGTTCTTTTTAATTTACATTAACGATCTTCCAGATATTCTTACATCTAAGGTGGAATTATTCGCTAATGATACTACTATTTATTCTTGTCACGATAAGAAGCCAACTCCCTCTGATTGCTTGCAGGGGGCATTTGAGCTTGAAAAGGATCTCACTTCTGCTACAGCATGAGGCTCACTATGGCTGGTGAACTTTAATTTAGATAAAACTCAATTTTTTTCAGCCAATTTTTATCGCAATAATTTAGACCTTCCTATATTTATGAACGGTAATGTACTCGATGAGTTATCTACCCTTCATCTTCTAGGATTAACTTTTACTTCTGATCTTTCTTGAAAAACCTTATATCAAATCCGTTGCAAAATTAGCATCTGCTAAAGTCGCTTCTCTTCTCTTTCTCTATAAAACTCAAATCCGGCCTTGTATGGAATACTGTTGCCATATCTGGGGCGGATCTACTAATGATGCCATTTCTCTTTTAGACAAGGTGCAAAAACGCATTGTAAACATAGTTGGACCTGCTCTTGCAACCAACCTTCAACCTCTGTCACATCATCGTAATGATGCTTCTCTTTCTCTTTTCTACAAATACTATAATGGGCACTGCTCTAAAGAACTAGCGCCTCTTGTGCCATCTACTAAAATTCATTCTCGTGTTACTCGTCATTCAATTAAGTCTCATCTTTTTTCTGTTACTGTTCCTAAGTGCTCCAAAAACTCTTATTTGTCCAGTTTTTTTCCTCAAACATCAGTTCTTTAGAATTTGCTTCCTTCATTTTGCTTTCCTGATTCATATAATTTGAAATCTTTTAAGTCATCTGTCAATCATTATCTTGCTCTACAATCTTCATCTTTTCTCTTCCAGTAACTTCCAACACTAATTAGTGATTGCTTGCAGCCTTGTTGGAAGCGAAGATGTTAAAAAAAAAAAAAAAAAATTAGTTTATTCAGTTCATTTTGTTATTATATCAATAACTTAAGTGTATTTTAATTTTAGGATAACTTAGTTAATTCTATTTAAAATTATACTAAATTATTTATTTTACATAAACTATTTTACATAATTGCTTACCATTTAAAAGTTGTTTTTTTTACATAATAACTGTCAAAACAAATCAAACACCAAAAAAATATAACAATATCTTACTATAAAAACTCAGATTTTTTTTTTTATATACATTTTTATTTATTTATATATATTAAATAAAAAGAAAAACTTGATTTTAAACAAAAGAAGAAAAATGAATCAAAAGGTAAAAACTAAAAAATAGAAGCAAAAAATTGTAAATGTTTTATATTTTTTAAATAATTAATAGTTTCATCTTCTAAAAAATGTATTGTAATACAAGCAACAAGCAATAAGTTGGAAAAAAATATCAAAACCCATTTTAAAACAATGCGGTTTCAAACAATATGAAATATTAATTGCCCTGTTAATGGTTACATTTTCAGTTTTTGCAAGGCACCATTTTGATTCAATGAGAGCAACCAATTTCTTTAATTGGAACAGACTGATTTTTTAATTGGAATGCATTGGTTTAAACAACACTAGCTATATGTTTAACTTATCAAGTTAATAACATAAAAGGAAAAAAACTTGTCAGCTTTAGTTTCCTTTTTTTTATATTCAAACCATATAACAACAAAATAGTGAAAAAAAAATAGTAAAAGGTTAGGAACAAGATAATAGATTTTGATAAAGAATGTATAGTAAATATTTTATTAGTAAATCAATAAGTAATACATTAAAAACACTAACTTTGTATTTATTATTTTTACTTTAGAGACTGCAATATATAAAACTGTTTCTAATTAAATAAAAACTGGTTGACTGAGGCACATTTCTTCCACAAAAATAAATTAAATGGTATAAACACACAAAAAAACTAGCTAGTGACAAAAAACAACTAGTTAGGGGGCCATTTATGAAAGACGCCATGCAAATAGAGGGAGAAGGTGTCAAAATAAAAAAGACAATAGAGGGAGAAGGTGTCAAAATAAAAAGGACAAGAGGGAGGGGGGGTTATTAGAAAAGGAAATCATTTTATAGAACTTTTTTATTTTTTATTTTAATTAAATAATGTGAAAAACATGTTAACATGTGTTTTTATGAAGTTAATCTTAGAGAATGTAATGTTTTTATATATTGTGGAAAAAAACTTGTTTTGATATTTATTTAACTTTTGCGTACAAATTTTTTATATGTTACTATTAATTATATACTGGTAAATTGTATGCAGTTTCTCATATCGCAACTATTATAAGTTGAGCGCTATGGTTTTTTATTCAATTCACTTGCAAACTCTTTGTGTGGAATTTGTTGCCAAGGAAATAGTTTTGCTATCATTAATGATTGTCTAAAAAAATCATTACAAATATTTGTCCAAAGGAAATAGCTTGTGTAACTATCATTAATGATTGTCTAAAGTGAATATTACAAATGATTGTTCAAACAGAATTGGTTATGTGTAGAAATCATTACAGAGATTATTTGAGATTATTTTATTATTTAAGATTATGATTTAAACTAAAAATCATCAGATAAAATTAGAAAAATAAAGCACAATAAAGTATGATATAATTATTACAAAACAACTGCTTATTACAACAGCCTAAAGAAATTTAGCGGTGATCAAGTATTTTAATTAAAAAAAATTGTTAAATAAGGCCTATGGCCTAATTATTATTAATACCACTATTTAAAACAATAATAATGTATAATAGTGACTAAAAAGTTTATTAGCAAAGTTATGGCTAGGGCGGCTAGGGGAATTATAGGGTTTTGCTTGGTCTTGCCTTGGATCTATTAATATTATGGCACATATTTTTAGACAAAAATATTACTTTTTCATCATGTCATCAATTACTTTTTTTTTTTACTTATCATTTTGTATAGGCTAAACAAAAAGCATATTACTACTACCATAAAATCTTGAAGCCTCTCTTGTAATATATAGGTCTATGTAAAAGCCGCAATTTAACTTTGGAAGGCAAAAAGCAAGTCAAATTTATGTTAATTATGTAGCCAATATGCCGCACCAAAAATCTGTTTGTTTTACCAGTATAATTTTTTTAGTCCTAATATTATTTCATTTTTTTAAATTATAGAGCCTAGATTAATATATAGAGCCTAGAGTATTGCCTTTTTTCCCATGCCTTGTGTATTTTGTAACGTTATGTGGTGTCGTTTACGATTACCCACATATTCGAACCTAGGAAGTAGGCTTCACTTTTTATTTACACAATTATAAAGTCACAACACCTTCTTGCACCAAAAAAAATGGTTTTAAAAGTACAGCTTATACTATAGATTTTACGGTAAACCTAGGCATAGGTATTATATTTATCCGGTATTAAATATAAATTTCATTTACCAGAGAAAGCAAACATTTTTAATTTTTTATAATTTCAGATGGTGCAAACATATAAAATAAAAAACTACTTTTGGGGCCTCATTGGAAGTCCTTAAACTTACTATTGAGGAAATCATTTCAAAAAAGCAAAGTCTCAGAACCGTCGCCTCGACCCATGGCATAGATAAAATGATATTACTTCGTTTCTGCAAAAAAACCAAGGAAGGAGTTTCCACATCTGGTTAATCCAAACATAAACTATTATTTGCTGCTGCAGAGGAGCAAGAACTTGTAAATTATCTGCTTGTAAATTGGTCTTTCACCAAAAGAAACAAGAAAGATTGCATATTAGTATGCTAAGAGTCTACAAAAAATAATTCCTTGTTCCTGGCATGCCACTCAATCTGCAGGAGTAGACTAATTTAAAGGGTTTATAAAAAGACATGAAAATGTCTTGTCCATCAGAACGCCCGAGGCCACTTCTTTAAGTAGAATGACAAGTTTCAACAGGACAAATGTTAATTTGTTTTACAACAATTTAGAGACCCTCTACACTCGTTTCCATTTCGAACCACACAACATTTGGAATGTGGATGAGACTGGACTAACCACAGTTTAGAAACCATCAAAAATAGTAACTCCAAAAAGTGCCAAACAAGTGGGAGCTGTAACAAGTGCAGAGAGGAGTAAATTAGTAACCTTGTGCTGTGGAGTCAATGCCTTGGGACACGCATGTCCTCCAATTTTCATATTTCCTAGGGTCAGGTATAGTGAACGAATGGTAGATAGAGGTCCCCCTGGCTCTGTTGGAGCAAGTCATATTTCTGGCTGGATGACAAGGGAGAACTTTTTTTTATTTTTGAAACATTTTGTGAAACATTGTAAACCAACAGTTGCACAACCTATCCTGCTGCTGTTGGACAATCATGAATCTTATGTATCTCTTTAATCTATTCAATATGCCAAGGAAAATGGTATTCATATGCTTTCATTGTTCCTCATTGTTCGCACAGACTGCAGCCTTTGGATCATTCAGTGTTTTTTTCACTAAAGAAACATTATAATGTGCAGTGTGATGCATGGCTAAATAGCCATCCCAGGCGGCCAATGCAGCCTCGTGACATTCCCACTATATGATGTAATGCATTCAAGCTTACCATGTCACCTGCTAACAGTAAAAAACAGCAAAAAACCTTAAGATTTGCCTTATTTGTTTTTACCGTCACTATCTTAAATACCAAAGTCATTTAATTATAATCAGTCATTTAATTATTATCAGTTCAAAATTTGAATTGATTTATATGTGATAATTAATTTATGACCATTATTTAACCATTATCAAACAATTCATTTTACAGCTTTCTGCTTATAATTTAAAACTTCATTTTAAATCACACAAATTATGTAATAAATTATAAAAATCATTTAAAATTTTCTAAAAGTTTTTTTTAAGAAATGCAAATTTACTATATCAAAAACAAAACAAAAAAAAAACATCAATATCTTTCTATAAAAAATAAGAAACAATGTTTTTTTATACATGAGTATTTATTAATATATATATTGAATATATAAAAAATAAGGAAAATAAATTATTAGGTAAATTACAAACAAAAAAAACCTAGATAGTGATATAAAAATATAAATAATATTAATAGTTTATCTTCAAAGCAATATTTTTTTATTATACTAGCGAAGAGCAAAGAATAAAAAATAAATTTATGTTCGAAACACTAAATATATGATCAAAATACAAAGTTAAGAACATAAAGTATTAAAAATTCTAATCAAAGATTCCATTTTAATGTATTATAATAGCTTAACAACAAATAAAAAAATATTAGTAACAAAAAAAAAGAAAAACTAAAAAAAATAAAAAAAAATAGTAAATGTTAATTTTATCTATAAATCATTAAGTAGTACATTAAAAACACAAACTTTGTATTTATCACATCAAAATAAATTTTATATTTTAAAATTAACATTGTTTTAAACATAAAAAAAGTTTTGACACTAAGGTACATATTTACACAAATTAACTTTACACAAATGGCTGTAGAAAACTACAAAAAAAACAACATTTCAACGTTATGAACTGAATAAAATAATTTTTTTATAACATAAATAACACTTCAGTTGTAGACAAGTTTAATCAATATACAATTTAAAATCAATACACATTTAAATACATTTAAAGCTATTATTTGTTGTCTAATATTATAAAATAAATACAAAATTGAATAACTTAATGAAGAATAACAAGTTTTAAAGCTATACCATTACCACATTATTATAAAACATTATGTTAAAGAATATAATTACCTGTCTACAATTTTTGAAGTTTTTAAAAGTAGCGGTAACATTCTTAATAAAATAAACATAAAGTATGATAGAAAAAAAAAATACCTTTAGATTTCCATTTATTGTTTTTTGGGTCTTTAACTTAAATATAAAATTCATTTAAATATTATCTGTTCAGAAAACAAATCTTTATTATATGCAACAATATAATTGTGAAATTCACATTATCAAACATTTAATTTTACAAAAAACTTTTTGCTTATAATTTAATAATTTTAATTAAAAATCTCTGGTATTTTTATTAGTTGATAAAAAAAAATAAAACATACATCTCTTAGTATAAAATCTAAAAAACTATTGTTTTTATGTACATAAGTATTTTTAATATATGTAAATATATAGAAAACAATCTTTTCAATAAAATAACGAAAAGGAAATAAAAGAAAAGATCATAAACTAAAAAACATAGATAGATAGAATTAAATATTGATGATAAAATGTATATTGCTATAATATAAGATTGACAGGTTTGCAGAAGATTTATATCATAACAGACCTGTCAATCTTTAGTTTACTGAACTATTAAACTCAAATTAAAAAGTTTATTTTCTGCTTTTTAAATACAAAAAAGATAATATTTTTAGCAAATGGTTTTGTTATATTTTATTTTCTACTTTTTAGTCTTTACAATGAGTTACAGTATTTAACAATACAAATTATTGTTATGTAGCATTATTATTGTTATGTTGCAATATTAATATTAGGCAGTGATTGTACTACAAGAAATAAGAGGATAAGTTGTGATTAAGTACCCTAGTAGCAAGCAAAACTGCTGCAATATTGCAACATGAAAATGTTACCATTTTGATATATATATAGCAAAGATTGATTTAAAATATTGGCTATATATATCGGGGGATTGATGGCCTCTGGGGTAATTATGGACATATGATATCTCTATATTTGAGTAATTTAAGTGAGTTTTTTTATCTGTACTGGTACCTATGTTCTACTAGAAGAACAAATAATTGATCCTAGTTCTTAGTTCTTCCTACATAAGCGGCGCTAGTTGTCTTATGTTGTTAACTGTCATTTACGTATTAGAAAGAAAAAGAATTTTTATCCTATTAAGTATATAAATGTTAAAGACGCTGACTAAATAACACCAATAATAAGAAATATAATTATTATAGTTTTTAAATATATATAATGTAAGTATCTTTTTATTTGAAAAAATGTTTTTATTTTTGTTGATAAAAATTGATTCATTTTGGGGCCATTTTATACGGGGCAATCATGACTGTATAAAATGGCTAGAAAATAGAAAAGTCTTCAGAATGGTGGGTAACCTGTGCTGCATGTGGTGACTGGGCCCACAAAAACTGTACAGATCTCCTCCATAAAAACAATATTTATATTTGTAACTATTGTATTTAATAGTAACATTGTACTACTTTTTATTAATTCTTAAACTCATAAACTTATTATCTTAAACTCTTATAAAACTTATTTTTAATAACTATTCTTGTTTTCATTACTTGTATTTGACAAAAGAATTGGAGTAATGCTGACCAGGCTGCCACAATTGCCCCAAAGTTGTGGGGTAATACTGGCCATTTTATTTAACTTTTTTCTTGAAATAACACGTTAATTAATTTTTGTACATATTTGCAATTAAAGAACTTTTTAATATACATTGTAGTAATCCTTCTACCATAGTTACAGCTCAAACCATTATAATACAACCCTAAAAATGGCAAAAAACCTAAGGAGTAACCATTCCTCCGACCTCCCCTAATCAATGAAAATACATAAAAATACAAAAAAAACAACCCCAAAGTAGGATTTGAACCCACAACCCTGTGAGACATGCCTCAAAAATTAGACACATTACATCATTAGGGTTACACTACTTTATCAATAAGAAGCAATATTAAAGTATTTAAACATTTATTTTGGGGTACAAATAAAGTTTTTATTTTGTTTTATTATTATTATTTGTAAATTATTTGTAAAAATGTAATAAGAACGTACAATTGTACAAGCATATAAACAATTATCTATTAAAACTAAAAAATTAAAATTTACAAAAAATAATCTTCCTGAGGAGGACTTGAACCGTTAACACTATCGTCTGCACTTCAAAGGGATAGTGTTATTAATAATATATACATACCCAGCAATATATAAATAAATTTATTATGTAACAAATAAAAACAAATTTGTAGACAAGTTACTTGATGAAAAGTTCTGGTCAAGTGAAAAAAAAAGATGAAAAAAAATAATAAGTTTGAAATGCAATTATATGATTAATATATGAATATATGAATAACATATTAGAATAAAAATTTGTCAATCAAAGAATCCATTTTTATGAATAAAAATTGATTAAGAACCAAATAAAAAAAAAATTAGTAAAGAGTAAGAACATGGTAAAAGTTATTGATAAGAATATATGAATGCTTGTGTTATTAAAAAACATATAAGTAATACATTAAAAAAACACACATTGTGTTTAGTATTTACACAATTGACACATTTGAACTAAAATTTACAATTAAAAATCAGTAAAATTTATTTAAAAGCTATTATTAATTGAATAGTATAAAATAAATAACATTTTGAATACCTGGAGACTTCTTTGTATTGTTTTTGGTATTGTCAACTTAAAAAAAATTTTTTAGTTAAAAACAAAAATTTTATATATATGATATATTTAAGTTGTAAAAACATTTAAACATTAAAATGTTTATTTTACAAAACATTACAGTTCAGAATTTTAAACCTTTAGTAAAAAATATTTTAACTTAAAAGTATAAATCATATTATTGATATATCCTAATTGCATATTGTTATACTAACGAAAAAAATATATATAATTTAAAAAAACGTTTGAAACACCAATCATATGACAAACTTATCAAGTAAATAAGAAAAATTAAAAAATTAAGTCAATCAGAGAATTAATTTTTATGTATTAAAAATTAATTCTAATTAATAAAAATTAATAAAAAATAAAAATCAATTAACAACAAAATTAAAAAAATTAGTAAAAAGACAAAAACAAAAAAATAATAAAATATAAAGATGAATTCATCTATTTGCTTTTAATTTGTTTTTAAATTTCACGCGGAAAGCATTGTGGGATAACTGAGACGCAAATGAACCAAAACATAATTTTTAACTAAATAAATTAAAGGAAATAAATAAAGAAAAACAAAGTGCAATGTTATGTAAAAATAAGTTATTGCTAACAATGCTAGATCTCATTGATTAGATATATCTTATTTGTGGAGCTTTAAGTAATTTACAACAATTGTAGAGGAATTTATCTGAATATTAATAAAAATCTCTTTTTTTTTTTGTATATAAAAAAAACATCACAAAATACTTATAATAAAAAATTTTCAATAAATTTTCAATACATTGTCATATTTTTTGTTGCTCAAGATTTATGATGTTGTTTGTTAATTTTTCATTAACTTTACTGTCTTACTGTTACTGTTTACTGTCTGAATCATTAATGCATTTCTCTATAAGATAATTTAAAATTGTAGTAACTATTTCTTTTTTCTCAAGTTTTTTAGTGATTAATTCAGGGAAACATACTCTGTAAAAAATTTCTGAAATTTTTGTTCATTTTTATTATAGCTAGGATCAGATTAAATTCTGTCACAGTAATGATCACTTGCTAAACATACAAAGAAATCAGCATGAGGATAGCCACTTATAAGTAACTGGTGTTATAATTGTTTGCAATATTGATGACTACTTTTCAGTGTGTATGTGTTAGCACAAGATTTTTTTCATAAAATCAATATGCTGATAATTAATATTAATTTTAAACCAACCAAACCCACAACATATATAACTTGTTATACCATCTGGCCTTGCTGCAAGAGAAGTTGTTTTGATTGATACTATAACCCTGCTTTGGTAACATGTAAAGTGTTAATGAGTTTTTTTCATTTCGCTGGTATATCTTTTTTTGAGCATAGGACTCACAAACGTTACCACATTGAATCAATTTACTTTTAGCAATATTTTTGTAACCTAAAATTTGAGCACATAAATTAAATTCTGCTTTTCACTTCTAAGTCAATGTCAAATTTTGCTATGACAGCATGAGCAATAAATGACAATATTGTTCCAACTCTATACAATTTCCGAAGTAAACATTTTGATTGAGATATGGTAGCTTCTTTTATATGTTCTGCATGAGATGGTGTTATTGAAAATGTCCTTGAAAATTTTTCACATTTAAATGCTATCGATTAATTCTCAGAAAAACATTCCATCTGAGCATTATATTGCTATATGGTAGGTTGTAGCACTTTGTATTTAGTTGCATTTGAAGGTAAATTTTTCATAAAGTTTTCTGACTGTATATCTGGCTGAGGCAAATTATAGCACTTCTTCAATCTGTGGCTTCTGCAACTGCTTCCCAGTCTTTCTTTGTAAACTGTGACTACTTTAAATAATAAAGACGAGGATCGTATAAAGATTGACTAAGTTTTAGATTATTATTTTCTCAACTTGATTTGACTTTTTTAATGGAAATATTTTGTAATTTATCTGGCTTATGTAATTTTCTCTTCTGTGTTTTAGTTCACCATTATATGTAGATGTGTGCTTAATTGTTAATAATGCATATTAAAACTTTTATATGTTTTCTGTATGTTGGCCGGTATTCTTAAAAAGAGCAAATTCATCCTTTAACCATCTGAAATTGTTCTGTCCAAAAGAAAGTTTTGATGATTTATTTTTCTTTAGCAGTACATTAAGTTTTTCTTGTATAGTTAAAATTTAATTTGTAGGATCATCAACAGTTGCTTCAATAAAATCAAAATCATCAACACTAAAAAGTCAAGACACCAACATTCCTGCAAAAGTTACTGTATCTCTGGATAGTGTTATTGTAGAGTTCTTATGACTGAATAATAAATTAATTACATATTTGTTCCAGCATTCATTGATTCTAATACTTAAAATATCCATAAATTTTTTGCTAACTTCACTGTTAATTGAAGAGATGAATTCTTACATCATGTCAGCACTTAACAATGTTGCATCTTCTCTGCTAAGATTTTCATAGGTTAAGTATATGATTGTAGTTAATATTGTCTTGAATTATATGTTATTTTCCTATTTATTAGGTTTACAAAAAAATTAATATAAAGTCCTATTAGATTAGTTTATAATTTACTTGCTTTTAAATCACCTTTAGCGACAATAACCGCCATACATAATCTTGGTATTCTACTTAACGACTTATCTAATTTGTTAAAGTCAACTTTATGCCACTAACTAATAAGTTTTTTTAACATTTTATGCATCATTAGGCATTAGTTTTTTACATTACTTTTAATTCCTCCAATAAAAATCCGATAGAAGAGATATCTTGTGATTGGGGTGGCTAAATCATTCTATAAAATATTTGATCATTCTCAAACTCAGTCAAACAACTTTAACAGTTTTTAGAAAAATATGTTTTGGATTTAAGTTTTAAGTCATTTTCATAGGAAAAAATAAATGGCTTCCCATTAACCCATCTTTCTGAAGGCGTAGCATGATTTGTGTACAACTAAACTTCTTTTATCATTACTCCCTCTATTTCTACAAAGTCACCTTTAGCATTCCAACTCAAACAGCCCCACACCTTAATACTACACCCACCATGTTTTTTAGTCGATAATACACAATATTTTATGATACATTCAATAATTTTTTTCCTTCAGACAAACAATCTTATCTTAAAACCAAAAATTTAAAACTTTGACACGTTGGTTCATGTTTACAGTCAATGATGGTCCATTTTTTATGTAGGTTTGACCACTTTAGAATTTTTGTCCTTCTTAAGATTTTTATCAAAGCATTTTGATCAAAATACTTTTAAATTATCTAATAGCGCAAAAATAAACATAAAAAATAGTTAAATAAAAAATTATTTCATTTTTAAAAAAGTTAATGTCATTTGAATAATTATAAACAGTAGTGTAGTTCTTGTTTACTGATGCTCCATCCTGAGTAGATGCAACCAATTTTTTTTTATATATTCTTCTATATATTCTATATTCAAATATACTTAGATATTGCTACATTATTTCAACCAAATCAAAAGTATTGCATTAACCAAAAATTCGAATTAATATTGTTTTATATGTGATACATATTTAGTTTTATCATAAATATTAACTTCAAAATATCCTTGCCCATTTTAAGTATTTCATCGATAGTCATACTAAACTTTTCTCCTTTAGCTACTTTAATTTTATGATGTCATTTTTTCAATCATTATTTTATTGCTTTTCATCAAAATCTTTTTGCAGAAGTTTTTTTTCATCACTTTCATTGGCAGGGAATTTAAATCTATCTTGAGCTATTGACTAGTGAATATACTTATTGTTAGTAAAAGCTTAATTCAAAATGCCATTAGCATGCCATTCTCACTTGTTCTCTCATTCATTGTATACTGTTGATTTGTCTAAACAAATTTCATTATTTCTTAAGTGATTTTTATAAAAAAAATTACTTATTACTCTAAAATTACTAATTAAACTCTAATTAAACTGTTATGAAAAAAAAAATCAAATCAAATTTCAAAAAAAAAATTTTTGTTGCATTAATTTTAACTTAAAAAAAAAGAAAAACAGTAAAGACAGTCATTTGAATTTAAATTTGAAAGACAGATGTTTGCCGATTTTGATTTTTCTCAAAAAAAAAATTTTTTCTGTTAATGTTAAACATTTTTCAGAAACCCAAATTTAAATAACACTTAATATTTATTTTACAAAAACTACCTGCACACCCTTTACAGCATTTAAAAAAAAAGATAACTTTCAAAATAAATTAAGCAAAAAAATATATATCAATATCATAGTATGAAAGTTCAAATATTAAAGAATTTTAGAATTAAAAGATATTTAGATTATTAGAATTAAAAGGTAAAAGTGCAAACAAAAAAAACTGGTGACAATAAAACTAATTAAAGAATAAGATAGTTTTATCTTCTGAGCAATTCATTGTTATACAAGCAACAAAAAAAGGGAGAGAGGAGGGAGTGTCTGAATTTTTTTGACAATTGTTGACAATGGAGAAGGGCAAGTCAAGTTGACGTTAACAATGTTATTTTTCTTAGTAAATTTAATTACTTAAAAAAAAATTATGCAGTGTTTGCAGTCCTGTGTTACATAATTGCTAAAGTATTTTAATAAAACTGTTTATATTACTTTACAACTACTTTTTAAAAACTGTGCTTTAAAAAGACTCGACACATACAGAACAAAATGTTGATGTTTATTTATAACACTGCTATTATTTCAAAGTTGTTAATGGTTAGTCAGCTGTGCTAACAAAAAAGATTTAAGTAAGTACATGGTCTAGATTATATTATTTAAACAATTATACTAGGTTTCTGCAACATGCAGCTTGCAAACCTCATGTGGTCCATTCAATGTCAAAATGCTGCTATTTAGCTCCATACAAAAATAATAATACAATATTGAAATAAAGATGTTGGTAGCTTTTTAAAAACAAAAAAACTTAGTAAATTTCAACTTTTGGTTCTTCTGTCTCAAAAAGTTGTCAACCCTTGGTTCATACAACTTGTTAAATACATTTTTTGTTATGCTAGACTCTATTAGAAATAATTGGCTTTTACTGTAA